GTCAGTCCATTCTCGTATACCCCAGGGCTGTCCTCATCCAAAGGTTCTGTGTCAGAACCTCCTGAATCATGTCTGGGTCTGCGGCCTGCGCAGGAACAGCTAGGAATCAGTGGGGGCTTAACTGGCCGGGAGCCAGAGAGGCGTGCAGCTTATTCCTTGATTAGTACTTTCCAGGGTTCTGGTTACCTCCAGGTTCATAGTTTCTCATCACCAGACCCCAAACCTTCCCTTACCATGCCTCAGACATTCTCGGTTCCACCTCTCAGACACCCTCCAGCCCCTTTTATCTTCCATCTCCCCCCCATCTCCATGTCCCCCCCCCCCCCCCCCGCCCCGAGCCTCTCCAGCTCCCCAGGGAACAGGATGCCCCCGCCTCACCTGGGGCCTCTAGCATGGGTTGCAGGTCCTGGGCTATCAGTTTGGCCATCCTTGCCGCTTCCACAGCCTTCTCGGCGACGCTGCTGGCTGCCACTGCTTTTAGGAGGGCGTCTGCTGCCCTGTTGGGTCCCAGGGACAGGGACTCGTCTGACTTTCCCCCCACATCAGTGTATATCCATGCTCTGATGCTCCAGCCCCTTACCCTGTCCCCACCACATCACATCTGCCTGAGGTGAGCTACCTCCCGAGTCCTCAGAGTCCTCAGGCCCCTGCACACGGCCGGCTGCTGCCCACCTTCAGCGGGCCAGGGCAGCTCCCTGGCTGGTGTCTTCACTTAATCCCGGGCTGTACACTGTCAACACACTCCTCTCACACCCTTCTACCTTTCCGTCCTGTAGCAACGCCTCCTTCTTCCTGCTGCAGGGTCAGCTCCCTCTCAAGTCTACTGCTGTCCTGCTCCTGCCTTATGAGCCTTTGCCGTCATGGCCGCTCTGGGGCGGCCCCGTTGTTAGTACCTCTGGATCCTACCAGCCTCTCCTGCCCCCTGGGGTCAGACACCTTTCTATGGGATGCAAGGCGCTGTCCAGTACCCTTACCCTGCTCTAATAGTGATGGACACCCCCACCCTGTTCACCCATCCCTTCCTCTTCTCTCGCCCATTTCCCGCTGCAGGCCCTCTTTATTTAACCCTGCTTCAACCAGTCTAGGTTTCCCGGCAGGAAAAGTTTTCATCTTGCTTTCCTCTGGCCTCTTCTGTCCTCACACTCTTCTGTTTCGGGCACCGCCTCTCCCCACCCCCCTCCACCCCCCTTCCCTGCCAACGTGCAGGCTCTTTCACCCCTGCAGCTACACCTATGTAAATTCAGCCTGCCTCCTGTGCTCCACTGGCTCCCTGGCCTGCGCCTCATGGTCAGCTCACTTGGCTGGCAGTCCTTGCTCCGTTACTGTTTGTCAGTGCTCTGTTTTCAGATGCCTCCTCTGTTCTCCCCTCCATTTCACCCTCTGCTGCTGGGTGGGTTAGAATCACCCAGCTGCTTCTGTAATTCGGACTGAAGTAAAGGACAAAGGAGCAGAAATGATCAGATGTACCTGATATGGGTCTGGCTGGTTAAGACTCGGGACTCTTTTTGGTCATTGGTTTTGTTTTGCTTTGTTTTTTCATCCAAGAAAGGCAGTCTGTATCTGGTGGTTGGTGACGCCCACTATAATTCTAGGTGAACCTCCTACTGTGTACCTTGGGCATATGGTCAGCTTCCTTCCTTCAAAGCGGGTGGGTTAAGGATTTCAGAGCTTACTCGGAGGGACATTCAGGGTTTTCAGAATGTTTATGACTAACCCTGTTCTGGAACTGAGCTGGATTCCGAGCAGCTCTGAGGTTCATTCACCCTTGGGTCGCACTGAGTTATGTAGATGGCCACGAAAATGACAATAACCTGTGGCTCTTGACATGGAAGGGTGTGGATTATCAAGCCTAGGCAGTAGACTTAGTCTGTGCTCAGGCATCAGGCCAGACTCAAGCTACCTGGCAGATGTACCTGCTGCTGAGGCTCTGTTGTTACCATGGCAGCCAGCAGCCAATCAGGGTTGCCAGGCCTGTTGCTGGGGCGACAGCCAGCTTCTTCCCACTGCCTGATCTTCTAGTTAGTGAGATCAGTGTTTTTTTTTTTTTTTTTTTTTTTTTTTCCCTGCACATGCCTCCACCCTATCTAGCTCAAAATGTTCCATGATGCTCTGACCTCCCTCGGTCCTGTCTTAAGGCCCCAGCTTCTAGTACCCATACACTCAGACATATCTACAGATGCATATTCTCTGCCCCAGTCATCTACTCAGGATGTTCATACATGTTCATACTTTATCATATTCACACATGTGCACACCAACCAACAACAACTTGCCTATTACATAAATTCATTGATACATATTTGGGCATATCCTGATCACTGGCCCTCTGAAGTGTCCTCATCCCCTTTAAAGGGAACAATACATACCAATTCAAATGGGTGTGAACTATATAAAGCAAGGGTCTTTTGAGTCTCATTCCAAATGAATTTTGGTTATTTTTAGATCTGTGCTATCTAATTCAGCAGTCAGAATCCATGGAACTATTAAGCACTCAAAATGTGGCTGGTCTCAAACAGGACTGATGTGCTGTTAAGTGAAAAATATTAGCACTATTTTAAAGAATCCAGAAGGAATGTACATTATATTAAATTGACCGAAAGGATAAAATTTTGGAAATATGGCTTAAATACAAATATGTTATTAAAATTAATTTAACGTGTCTCTTAATCTTTATTTATTTATTTATTGAGACAAGGTTTCTTTGTGTAGTCCTGGCTGTTCTGTGACTTGCTCTGTAGACCAGGCTGGCCTCAAACGCCTGCCTCTGCCTCCTGAATGCTGGGATTAAAGGTGTGCACCACCACACCTTGCTTACGTTATATTCTTATTGGTCATCACTGCTTTAGATAACAAGGCTCTGATGCATGGAAATGTAATCTGATTTACTGAAAGAAAAAAAAAATCTTCTCTAGAGCCAAGACTCCTCCCTTCAAACCTAAGCAAAACGAGCCGGAGAAAGAAAAGCTGGTAGAGAATGGATTTCAGCTGCAAACACGAGACCTCCTCCAGGGCCAAGGCTGAAATAAAACCAGTCTGGGAGCTAGTGAGGAAGAGACTACAGTGTGTGGTCCAGGATGGATGCTCCTAGCCTGAGGCCTGAAGGCTGGGTGAGCTGAGCAAGAGGAAGACCAGGAAAACCCAGAGGTTTCGGGGCCTGCCCAAAGCAGCGTTCTTTCTACAAGCTACACCATGGATTCCACAGACACACATCTCTACAAAACACACTGGGGCGCAGTCTTACTACCTCCCTCCAACGCTCAGCCACCCAAAGTTACTCCCACACCGGCCTCCAGCCTCAGGTCTAAACATTCCAACTCCTAGGGCTACAACTACCTGGACGTAGGCCTGCTCATGCTTCCCCGCAAGGCTGTAGGCCTTGGCTTTTAGTTCTCCTTTAAGCATACTACCCAGACGGTCCTCTCCTTTTAAAGCCCTGCTCTATCTATGCACCAGATGCCCACCTGGCAGCCGCGACTTCCTGGCGCTGGCGGGCAACACTCACAGCTCGACGGGCACCTTCGACAGCCCTGTCCACCTTCTCCTTGACTTTGCCCCGTCTCAGAGCCAGAGGCAGGAGGCTGCGGACACGTCCCCCGTGCACGAGCCGGTTGCGCTTGTACTTGCCCTCCTCACGGGAGCCATCGGGCCGGGTGGTGCGCCCATATCCGTGCCTTCGGTTGCCCAGCCACTCGCCTTCGTAGCGCAGCCCGTTGGATCTCTGGCTCACTCCGTAGCCACTGCGCCGGTCTGCACGCCACTCACCAGCATACACCTCAGTGGCCGAGCCCTCGATGAGGGCAGGTGGCGCTGGGATAGGGGGCCCACTGGCCTCGGAGCCCAGGGGTCCTGTACTGCCCACTTCGCTGCTCACCTCGCTGCGTAGAGATCCCCTCTTGCTGCCCAGGGAGCTGCGGCGCCCACCAGCCCGGAGCCCGCTGAGCAGCAGTGAACGGCGGAAGAATCCACCTGCTGCTGGGGTGCGCTTACGGGAGGCCGCCCCATCGGCGTCCCCTGGCCCCGCCAGCACGAAGCCGCCTCGGGAGCCGGAGGCTGGGCTACCTCCTTCATCTCCTGGTAGGGGTAGGGGCGGAGGCGGCGTCGGGGGGTCGCTGTGGCCCGAGTCCAGAGAGGTACGGCGGGGTGAGCGCAGAAGCGCCGCCTGGTGGTAGGGTACACTCTGGCGCACCCCGAAGCCGTGGCGCTTCCCGGCCTGCCACTGGCCTTGGTAGGTGCCTGTGGATGTACAGGAGTGAAAAGAGTCAGAACGCTTCACCGGGCTCCCAAACCCAGCAATCCGTGGTCCCCAAGCCCTTGGAAGCCCAAGGGACAGGTAAGAGTGGCGGTAGCAGTTAGTGTAGAGGTGTGGGAAGGGACAGGCCAGGCCTCGCTGGTAAGTGTGGAAGAGCAGATGCAGTCAGGTAGGTAGCATAACATATGTGGATTTTGGCAGGTGTCAGTGGACTGGGGAAAGGCAGAGAAACCGGCAGGCTGGAGTGCATGAAGGACAGGTGGCCCAGAGGCTGTGATGCACAGGCTGACAGGTGGTGGTATGTAAAAAAAAAAAAAAAAAAAAAGCACGTGACAGGCAAACAGGACGGCAGGGTACAAGCTGACTGGGAGAATACATGTTAGGTGGAGCGGGGTCAGGCAGGTAGAGAGGGCAGGTGGGAGGGGCAGGCAGACTGGGGTGAGGGAGAAGCATGCAGGAGACTGCCCAAAAGAGGAAGTTATGAGTATGGTGGCGGTGGGAGAGGCAGGAAGATGGGGGCTGGGGTCCTGGGCTGGGGGATGGTGTGAGGGACACACGGGAACACTGGAAACAGAAGGCTGGCGCACCGCACGCATATGGCTGGGGAAGGAGGATGGAGGATGGAGGATGGGAGCAGCAGGGCGTGGAGGGCGGAAGCCTGGGGAAGACACCCGCGCCGCAGGCCGGCGGGAGGCGCACGCGGACGGGCAGAGAGTAGTGGGCCGGGCCCCGCACCTCCGTCGGAATAGGTCTCGGTGCCGTAGCCGTCCTGGAAGCCGTCCTTCCAGAGCCCGGCGTAGCGCAGGCCGGACACGCTCTCCCACACGCCGCTGCGCCCCTTCAGCCCGCCCAGCCACTCGCCGCGGTAGGTCCAGCGGCTCTTGCGCTCCACGCCCAGCCCTTCGCGCTTGCCCTGCTGCCAGTGGCCCTGGTAGCTGTGTCCGCCGGGCCCCGTGAAGACACCCAGCGACTCGAAGCCGTGCGCCCAGCAGCCGCTGTACTCTCCCTGGGCGCCGGGCCCGGTGCACACGCCGTAGCCATGTGCCCGCCCCGCCTCCCAGCCCCCCACGTAGCAGCCCCCGTCGTCAAAGTCGAACTTGCCCCCGGGGGACATGCATGTAGTTGGCGCGGCCTCAGCCCCCCGGCGGCTCAGCGCATCCTGGGGCTGGAGAGCCGGCTGGGGGCCTGGGGGCCGGGCGAGGCCTGGGGGCGGGGGCAGTTAGACCGGGGCTGGGCGGAGGGGCCCCAGCGCGGGCAGGCAGGGCCGGACCCTCATCCTGAGTGGCTGTGGAGAAAGAGGGGTGCAAGTAGAAAGCGAGGCAAGTGGAGAGCGAGGTCCCCTTCTTGGCCTGCCGCTCCCCTGCCGGTGGCTCTAGGGCATCAGCACCGCCTTCCAGCCCTCCTCCCATCCCCCCTGAGCAGCATCTTTCAGCTGCTCCCAAGCGGTGAGGGCAAGGGGGCTTTCCCATCCCTCCCAACTTGTAGAGGGCGCCTCCCGGGACTAGGGGGTCCCACCCCTCATCCCGAGTCCTACTTCTCCAACCTAGAACCCCCGAGTGTGGAGTGTGGATGGCAGCTGGAGGTGGGGGACTTGGGAGGGGCCTGGGCAGGGTCTTCCGACACCTGCTTTCCTGGCTCTTTGGACCCCTCTGCCTTGATTCTTTGGCTTCGCTAGCAAACCCGGGTGCGGGGGAGGCGGGAGGTAAAAAATGTAGCTGGAAATCCGGACCCAGGTGGGCCGACGATAGAATGGGGATGGGGGGGGGGACGACGAGGGTAGGGGTGGGCAGACTGGCGAAAGGGAGGGGACAGGTTACTCACCATGTGGGCTGGGGCTCAGGCTGCCTCCCGGGCGCAGTTTCCATGGCAGGGTTCTTCCACTCACACCACCCCAGGACAAGCCAAGCCCCCTTCCCTTCCGGAAAGACTGCTACAGCCAGAGAAGGGAGGTGGGGGAGCTATGGGAGAGTCCCCTCTCTCTCCTCGGCCGAAGGTGCAGGCTAGTGTTGAGGGTGAGGCAGTGGCAGGGTGGGGGGTGAGAATGAGTGTAGGGGGAAAAAAATCTGCCTTGAACGGAGACAGCAAAGAGGAGCTGGGAGCTGGATGGGAAAGAGGAGGGGGCTATCAAGAGGGGGTGTTTTTGTTTTTTTCTTCTTATGGTTGGGAGAGGAAAAAAAAAATCAAAATTCCAATTCCATCCCAGCACAAATCAATGTTTGCTCCAAACCCAGCATCAAGGGGGAGGCTGGGCCAGGCAGATTTAAAGGGGCAGAGAGGAGCGGAGAGGAGGAGAGGGTGGGGAGGAGAGTCAGTGGCAATGATCAGGCTGGCGAGAGGATGCCCCGGCAGAAAAAAAATGGGGGCTCACTACCCCTGAGGTGAGGAAGAAGGCAGGTGGAGAGGAGAATAGGAGGCTCAGAGACCCCCACGGTGGAAAGAAACCCTGGCATGCAGGCAGGGAGTGGAGTGAGGCGGAGGGGAGGGGAGAGGAGCCAGGGGGAGGAGTCTGAGCTTAAGATGGGGAGGCAGGGGGAGGCCAGAGCCAGGTGGGGGAGGAGAGATGCTGGGGAGACCGGGAGGGCGAGAGGAATACTAAGAATGAGGTGCAGGGGTGAGAGCTAAGGCGGGGGTGGGGGGGTGCAGAGGAGGGAATACACCCGGCATGGGAGACCTATTCCAGGGTTGATGAGAGATGGCCAGGAAGAGAAGCAGGGGAGGACGAAAGGAGGGGAACAGAAACAGACAGGGAGCCGAAGAGAGCGAAATAAGGGTTGTGATGCGAGGGAGAAAGCTCTGCAGAGAAAGGGCAGGCATGGGAATAGAAATCCAGGCAGGAAGAGCCCAGATTGAGACAGGAGGCCCGGAAGTGGTGTTTGTGGGGACCCTGGGGAGAGAGATGAACCTGCCAGCTGCTTGGCCCGAAGCCAGGGAGCATTTGAGCTTGGATACCTCTGTCCATTCATCTCAGACTCCTCCTCAAGACTGAGCCCACCCTCTCACAGTTTTAGAGGTAGCTTGTAATGGGGCCCTGCCAGGAAGTCGAGCTATACTAATAAGCGCAACCCTCTGCCTTCACCAACTGTTTCTGTCTGTCCCTCTGAAGGGAGTGTCGGTATTTTAATAGGGGGATCGAGTTTGAGGAGGCCATCAAGATCTTTGGTGCTCTGGAGTCTTCTATTTTGCGACATAGAAGCAACGATACATAGGTTTGCTTGAGCAGGCCCTTGCTGTGGCCCCTTCAGCCTACAACCCTCTTTCCCTGTCCACTCACCAGAGTGACAGTCACATCGTTAGACCATACTGGCACTGGCAGTCTGCGGGCACAGGCTGTTTGCCCTCCCTCCTCAGCTTCCTCAGGCCGCCTCCGGTTCCATGCCTGCCCTCAAGCGTTTCAGGGAAGGAGGCACTGTCCAATCATACACACCAGTGTGACCAACCAAGTCTACTCAGTTGCTTTTATTTTCCCATAGGATCTGGTCCCTGCTGCCCACCCTCAGCCCCACATCTTATTGAAAGAGAACGAAAGCCCAGGAGCGGAAGTCACTCACCAGGGGCCACACAGCAGAGGTGGCAGAGCTAGAATTGGAACACTAGACTTCAGATTTTTATTTTGCTTCATGCTGGGCATTGCATCCTGGATCTTCAATAAAGCATGTGCTCTATCACTGGACTCATAGGAGCCCTTCAGTTCCTCCCAGGAGTCTGTGCTCGAGGGCATCCCCTAAAGTCAAGGGTTACATTGGGTAAAATAAAAAGTGTGAAGATCGGAGTAAATAGGGATTTCTCTTGCAGTGTTTTTCTTATATATTTTGTGGTGTGTGTGTGTGTGTGTGTGTGTGTGTGTGTGTGTGTGTGTGTGTGACAGAGAGAGAGAGAGAGAGAGAGAGAGAGAGAGAGAGAGGACAACTTCTCCAGAAGTCATTGTCTTCTGTCTTGTTGAGACAGTTCTTGTTTCTGCTGTGTGTAGTATGCTGCAGGCTGGCTGGCCAGAGCCTTCAAGGGATTTTCCTGCCTCTACCTCCCATTTCCCCTTTGGAGTGCTAGGTTTGCCCAGGAGGGCCACTGCATCTGGTTTTTGTTTTTTTTTTTCTTTCGACACAGGGTTTCTCTGTGTAGCTTTGGCACGTTTCCTGGAACTCACTCTGTAGCCCAGGCTGGCCTTAAACTCACAGAGATCCGCCTGGCTCTGCCTCCTGAGTGCTGGGATTAAAGACGTGTGCCACCACTGCCCGGATCTGTTTTTTTACCTTGGTTCCTCGGATTGAACTCAAGTTGTAGGCTTATGTGGCAAGCTGCTGAGCCATATCCCTAGCTCACATTGTGTTTTTTTTTTAAAAATTTAAGCCTCAAGAAAGGGACAACTCTTTTTTTATTTTTATTTATATATATATGTATGTATACACACACACACACACACACACACACACACACACACACATATATATATATATTGAGACGGGTCTCACTATGTAGCCAAGGCCCATGGCATTCATTATTCCCTGCTTCAGGCTCCTGAGTGCTGAGATTACATGCAGTGCCACATACCCAGCAGGGACCACATCTTTAAAGCACCTTGGAGAACAAAATAGGGCAGTATCAGGTACTGGAGATGTGTAGCTCAGTGGTAGAGCTTGCGCCTAGCATGTGCAAGGCCCTGAGTTCATTCTCAGCACCCAAACCAAACAACAACAAGAAGAAAACCCAGGGCAGCTGAAAGTCCACTTGACACATGCTAGTCGGCGGGGAGTTTATTCGTTCATTCATTTCTCATTGAGCATCTACATATTGACCTTCTATTAGGAGGCATCTGTCCAGGAGCTAGAGATCCGAGGGTATTTGCTGTAGCTCTTCTCAGTTAGTAGGGGAAACAACTGATAAACATGTCTGGTCTAGTGAGGGCCATGGCAAGTTCAGAGGGTGGGAACAGGGCATGCAGATGGAACTTAGTTTAGGCTGTCTCCCCCAGAAAAGAGGAATTTAGGATAGATCCAAAACAAGGGGGTTCTGAGGCAGGCACAGCTGCACTGTGTACACTAGATTTTTCAGTTGCTCTTTCTCCACAGTGTCTTATTCCAAAGGTTCCCCCTCTCCTTAAGAAAAGGGGGAAATAAGAGAAGAACACACACACACACACACACACACACACACACACACACACACACACGCCTCGTTAATTTTTAGTTTTTAAAATTTTATTATTTTATGTGTATGAGTGTACCATGTGCCCATGGAGGCCAGAAGAGGGCATTGGATTGGATCCCCTGGCATCAGAGTTACAGATAGTTGTGAGCTGCCGTGTGGGTGATGGGCATCAAACCTGGATCCTCTGGAAGAGCAGCCAGTGCTCTTAACTGCTGAGCCATCTCTCTGCCCTTGTTTATTTATCGCAGTGCTAGTGACCAAATCCATCCTCTCCCCTTCTCTCCCTCCTCCCCGCTTTTGTGAAGTAGAGTCTCACTCTGAAGCCCAGACTGGCCTCAGATATGGGACTCACCCTTTATCTGCTTAGCCTCTCAAATGCCGGATTAAAGACGCATTCCTTCAGGTCTTGTTTTCGTTTTAAATTTATGTTTATTTTTTGACTGGGTTTTACTCTGTAACCCAGGCTGTCCTTGAACTACTGATCCTCCTGCTGCGGCGTCTCTAGACCCTACCTGTTGTTCCCTTTCGGGCTGGAGAAAGGGTGTCAGGGGTGAGTAGGAGGTGGGAACAGTGCCTTGTGGACAGGGTAACTGCAAACGTATTCTGAGGTGCAAATTAAGGTACAGTGTTTGGTGAAGTCCTGAGAAAATCTTGGAAGGTATACCCTGAAATGCATGGGACACACAGTCCCAGCCCCTCATATTTCCCTGAGGGAGCTAGCCTTCTGGCCTGTCCCTAATGGTGATTACAGTCACCTCTTTCCCTAATTGTTATTGTTATTGTTTTTCCAGAGAGCGAACTGGTTGGTTTTGTCACGGTTTACAAGTGTAAAAGTGTCATGGAGAAAGGAACTGGTGTCAGCCGAAGCCAGGTTCTGTGCTTGGCACTCTGCCTGCATTAGCTCATCCAATCCTAACTCCAACGGTAACTGAGCAGTCTAGGCTGGGAGCCAGAGCTGGGCTTCCTAAACAGACAAAGCCAAGCACTTTACCTGGTGTTCCTGAGCTACAGCTGGCCTGTCTCTAAAATGGGAATATCACAGCTTAGCGAGGGCTGGAATGACCGTATAGGAACAGTATGTATGATAATATATGGAGATGAAACCATTTGGTATGGCGCCCTCCCAGGGCATGTTAAATGCCCAGCAAATGGTGGCTTGAAAACTAACTTGGCATCATTTCACTTTTATAGGTACTGAATCTGGATCTAGAAGTTATTTAATGTGTAACAGCCCTTGGAACTTAGTATATGTCAGATTTCCAAGTTAGTGTGTGTGTTTCTCGTTGCTAAGACAAAGGACCCGAACCAAAGCCGCGCAGAGCGGGAAGGGCTTCTTCCGCCTCACAGTGCAAGTCCATCACAGCGGGAGAAGGCACACCCGCGCAGGAGCTCGAGGAGGCTGATAATCCCTCTCTGGGACGAGCCGGGAAGTAGAGAAAAGGACTGACCGAAGCTGCCCAGGTCACTTCCTCATTTTTATTCACTCTAAGACACCAGCCTGTGGAGGTGGTGCCACCCGAATTCAGAGTTACACGCCTCTGGAAGAGCCCTCGTGGACACACCCGGAGGCGTGTTTCCATGGTGAGTCTAAATCCCGTCAAATTGACAAAATCATCTGGGATTTAGCAAGTGCATTTGGGGAAAGTAAGAGCTCCACTGCCGAATTATGAAAAATCAAGCGCAGTATCAAGACGATAAGAACTCCTGCAGTCTCCTTGTATAACAAGCACCTTAATGTGTTTTCTTTTGAGATTCTGTTTATTTTAATTTCATGTGTGTGAATGTCTGCTGAATGCATGCAGTATCCAAACAGGCCAGAAGAGGGCATTGTATTCTTTGCAACTGGAGTTAACAAACGGCTGTGTGCTGGGAACTAACCCAGGGCTTCTGGAAGAGCAGCCCGTGCTCTTCTTAACTGCTGAGCCGTCTCTCTAGGCCCCTTTCAGTGTATTTGAAAATACCTTCTCTGTAGCTTTTACTTAAGTGTGTTGTGTTATATCTATAAGCTTGGACCATATTTGTTCATTGTTCATTACAAACATTTTTTTTTTCTGTCATTAAAATATTCTTGAATCTTGAATGGTTGCCGGTCTTTGATTGTCTGGGTGTGCTAAAGCTTGCTGACCTATCCTAGCAGAGCATTTTTATACTATTTGCAGCTTCCTCCCTCCCTCCCTCCCTCCCTCCCTCCCTCCCTCCCTCCCTCCCTCCCTCTCTCCCTCCCTCCCTTCCTTTCTTCCTTTCTTTGTGGCTTTTTGAGAAAGGATCTCACTATGTAACTCTGACTGTCCTGGAACTCACTCTGTAGACCAGGCTGTCTTTGAACTCACAAAGATCCACCTGCCTCTGCCTCCCGAGAGCTGGGATCAAAGGTGTGCGCAGCCATATCTGGCTCCGTATTTATTTTTAATAGCAGAAAGGTGTAAATATGAGCTGGGTGTGGTGGCACACTTCAATCCCAGCATCCGGGAGGCAGAGGCAGGTGGATCTTTGTGAGTGCAAGACCAGCCTGGTCTACTACTAAGTTCCAGGATAGTCAGGACTACATAGAGACTGTTTGAAAAATAAACAACAACAAAACCCCAAAAAACCCCACCACCAACAAAATAAACGAAAAACCCAAAGTTAATGTTTGTATAGAAATCTCTCCATTTCTGACACTTTCTTTAAACATTTTGCCCTGGAAATTAAAACAATCAATTTTATTTATTATTATGTATATGTGAATGCATATGTTATGGCACCCATGGAGGTTAGAGGACAACTTTGTGGAGCCGATTTTGTCTTTCCACTGTAGGTTTGGGGCTCAAACTCCACTCCTGAGGCTTGTGTGACAGAAACTTTTACCTGCTGAGCCTTCTCACAGGCCCCATGGCAAATTTCAAACACGTGCCAGGGAAGACGAAATGAACGAAAGATCTTCCATGCATGCCCCCATCCCTCAATCCCCGGCATCAACAATTACTTTGGCAAGCAATGACTCTTGCCTAATTTTGTTTTGTCTTCTCTGATTTCAAATTTCAGACACAGGCTACTCTAGTCTGTTGATTGTTTTGTTAATTTGAGGCAGGTTTTCTTCCTTTGTACCTCATACTGGCCTCGACTGGTGTGGCTCTGGCCTCAGCTTCCTAAATAGTGAGGTGCATGCATAAACCACCAGACCCCACTTTGAAATAGAACCCCCTCCCCTCCCCACTGCAGATGGAACCCCAAACCATGTGCAAGTCAGGTAAGTGCTCTACCACTGACATACCGCTCCAGCTTGAAGACACATCCTTAACTGTACAATTACTGAATTCTGGGCTGGAAATACTTTTTTTTTTAAAAGAATTTGGCTTTGTTTTGCCAGGAATACTTCTAGGAAGGTTGTGTGAATTTGCGCTCTCAACAATGGTGCATGAGAGTGCTGGTCTGGTTTTATTTCACCCTGTCCTGTGTTGACTGTGTATTGTAACACCTACGTGCACATGTACATACACTTACATGCTTGGAATGTCAAAAGTGCTTTCTTTACACACACACACACACACACACACACACACACACACACACACTTTTTTTTTTTTTTTTTTTTTTGGATTGTAGGGTTTCTACTGAGAAGGTGTCTAATGAATAGAGTGAGGCAGCCTCTCCTGAAG